CTTAAAATTAAATAGATAATCTTAATTCATGAATAAAACGAGGCGAAATGACGTAACTGCGTATAATGTTCATACTGGATCTTGCCTAATATATTGTCCTCTGACCTGCGAGAGCCGCGGAGATGCAACTTCAGATCGGACTAGAAATTTTGCACTACCCTACGTATTGTTTTCTTTTATAGAACAGAAGACTAACGTTTAGGAGGCCCATCTGACGTTAACTGATACCGCCCATGGACAGACATGGCTGAAGTCTCGCGATGTTAGTCATTTATGAATGAGTATGCTCTTTTCTTGAAGGACCCTAAGACCATTGGTTCGAATATACCTCGACGGACAGCTGGATGTTAAATGATATGTCATTTCTACATTTCTGTCCATATTCTGTCCATAATAGTAACGCTATTTATTAACTAATGATTATAAAACATTTTAAATTATGGCCATGGTACATAAAGAAATAATTAAAAATTGATTATCAAAACATATCCTTTCGCAGCGAAAAGTACTCCTTGGACTATTCTATTTTTAGTCGTGTTTTTTTTCATTATTTAGAAAGAGCGACCTTCTATACGCTATTCTGTAGAGATGTAATTGACATAATTTAACACTTTTTCGAAAATTAAAAAAATTAAAAATTAAATAAATAAAAAATTAAATTAATTATTAAATTTTAGAATCACCAAAAAGACGCGAAGAACGCAAATCGGCGTATTCCCGCACCGAGTCAAAACGACAGGAATCCGGCGAACGCAAGATGTACGCGGCGAGCAGCGAGTCGGAACTGTTTGAATACGCCATTTTGCCAATTTTCCAGAAATTACTAACGGAAAGACATAAGAGCCAGCCACATGGGCTCAACCTAACGTATGGCATGAGTTGCCCTAATATATCTATTAAGTGCGATATTGTTGAGTATCTATAGGTAAAAGTTTGTTGATCTTCAATTTAAAAAAATGTTTTTGCGGGTATTGTTTATAAAATACAGATTTACCAGCTTGAAACGCGTTTAAATAGAATAATTAGCTTTTTGAATGTAAACGGAACGCGTCGTCAAAGAAAGTCAGAAGCGACTTCTCTTTATTTACAATAATTTTGTTATTTTTTAAATATAACTTCAATCGGATCGGATGTTTCCTACAAAGTATTTTTAACGTCAAGCGATTTAGGGTATAACTACAAAATTATTACGCAGATAAAAAAATTACTGCAGCTATGCACCTATTTGAAAATAGGTGCCACACACATAATCGACCTCTTATATATAATAACCCTGTTTTATATGTGTGTAGCTTTATAATGAGTTTGGAACAGCATTAAACGTTAATGTTATATTTCAAATATTTGAAGTATCAACGGCCCTAGCATAGCGCATAACTGCTGGAAGAATTTTCTTACATATATTTGACGCATTATTTTCGTGTTAATACTTTGTCAAACTAATGGTAAAGCTGCCTACTTGTGGCATTATACATAATTAATATAAACCTCTATGAACCTTATGAAAATTCTAAAACCCTACTATTAGTAAATAGATTAAATACGAAAGATCGTCAATTTCTCAGTATTTTAAGAATTAAAAAATATGATTACTAAAGTACTATAAGTAGAATATTTATAGCACAAATTTATTTGTTATAATAATCAAAATTTTGTTTATATTGTTTTATACAGTAAAATATATTATTTAGACGTGAAGTTTTCTAATTCTAGTCAACGATTATCTTTATTCGGCCAATTTCATTGCACTCAATATTGCGGGTAGTTTAAAATTTATTATTATATTTCTATTAGCTCGGTTTTGGAATTGGCCGTTATATTTGTTACTAATTTAATGACTATGCACACAACTAAAGACTTACATTTGTTAATTGTTACTGTACAAATAATTTAAGGGAATAAATGACTTTATTATAGAATGCATTTTATTTACGAGTGACTTCGTCTTAACGTTTCGTAGCGATATTCACAAAAAAAACTAAAAGTATGAAGACGTTTTTCTTCAACTCTCCCCGTCACACTCACTCTTCTTATTGTTGAAAACTGGTAGAACCCTCCATCGTGACGGATAAAAGACAACAGGGTAAGGTAGACGTAGTTTCGTTTTCGAAGTCTAATGACTAGTGAAGGTAGGCATAAAAATCTTTCTACCCCCATATCTTTATAACACCTAATAGTTCAAGTTGTCTAAATAACATTAATACAGGTAAAATCAACATACCCGCACTTGTATAGGACTATCAAAAGGATCAGCGCGTCTTTGTTAGGGGAGGGGGCAGGGGTTTATCTGACTGATTTTCACGACGCTACAGAATGTAAGTATTTTTTCAAAAAATAATTTTGTTTGTATCGAACGTTGAAATAAAAAAGGTCAGACACATACAAGAATAATTTATTTTTTGCATCACAGTTTCTATGGCATTTCTAATACTGTCTAGGCAAGGCGTAACTAATATCAATTTATCACTATTTTTAATTATTCTATTGTAATTAATACGTTTAAAATAAAAATATATAATATAAAGAGCAACTAACATTTTCATTGCCTAATTCTATAACTGAAGCTCTGGATGTTATGAATACATCTCAACTAAAACATTTACGGATAAATACTAATAGAACATTGTTATGGTGCCGATTTATTTTTACTATAGACCGTTATAATATAAAACGGTAGGTACGCAATAAGGAACAAACAAATTATATTTTAAAACAAATTGGAGAGAAATTTAAAGGTAAAAGAAAAAAACCAAATTGTAAAAGAAGCTTTATTACAATAAATAAAAAAAACAATTGTAAGTAACAAAGGTAAAAGGTATGCAAATAAAAAAAGTCAAGTGTACACAAGATTATACTAGTTTTGTAAAATATGAAATTGTTAAAATGTGAACTCCATATTACGTACAATACAATAAGCCACCTTAGTCCATCTTGCAAATTCTCTAAGCAAGCGGAGCCCGAGGGCTCTAGGCAAGTTTTATAGCGATAGGGGATATAAGGGCGATATATGCAATATATTTTCATAGAAATCACATCACGGCCTGCTGCAAAATAGAAGTAATAGAACCAGGTAAGATGCTCTGAATTTCTAGCAATGTTTATTATGATGACTCGGAACATGTATTTAATGATCATCATATTATCATTAATTCATCGTAATACAAAAAAATCAAATTTAAATAAATTCATTGTGGCGTTTTGTATAAAAAATGACGCGTTTCTTTTAGTTAAGCGCACAAGACACTCAATAACAACTTACATTAGATTTAATACTTAGTCACAATTATTGCTTATAAATACTTCCTCACAACTCTAAACTTAAACATTAATATGAGATGAAAAATACATTTATTTAGTTATAAAAATATATATTACAATTTAGATATTAGATACACTATACGCTGATTATGATGTATATATGAAATATAATCAGTTTCGAAAGACAGAATTAAATATTATTCCTAAATGTATAAAACTCTAATAATATAGATATTAGAAATGTTAAGGCCATTATTTATTTGGAAAGGATTATTCATAGTATATACTAAAAGCTCAGAATTAGAGATTACACAAACCTATTTTTACAAGATATTATAAGTATGGTGTGATAAAAGTTATGCCGAAGTGAGACTTTGAGACTTGGTATCAGTTTGTATTAGGTTTAAATAATTTATATATCAGCGAACACCTCGCCACTAAAATGAGTACAACATTTATATAATGTATTAAAAATGGACGATCTAATTTTACACTACTAGGTGGTAGTTCAATCTAAATGATGCACAATATAAAATCATTATATAACCAATATTTATTTGGTACAACAGTAAACTACTTTTCAGCCATTTTATATGCAGGGAAGCAAGACCAACTAAATTATCTGGAGAACTTATATACCATGTACGTATAATCCGGCAGTCTTAGCTACTATACACGACACAGGAGGGTAGGTACAAAATAATTGAAGAACCGTCGGATTCGTCCTACTCGCACACCGTCTCACGTATATCATATAACGCCAATCACGTACGCCATAAATTCTTTAAAATTTCTTTAAATTAGGCGAAATTGATATTTGACAATTCTTTTTAAATTGGTTATCGTTACATTCGTATAAAATATATATATAATCCGTTCATTACATACCCCTTAGCACGAAATACGATAGTGTCATCCAGTATTCGTATACTTCAACACGAAAAGGACAGTTATTGGCGCATACGTATTCCATACAAATCAAATATTGAATATGCATCATATTTATTGAAAATATGCCAACGAAGTGTTGAAGTTTCCCTACTAAATGTTACGATTTGTTAGTATCCGTGCTAAGGGTACGCACGCTTCTATCCTACACCTATAAAGCACATTAAAATGGCACTTTCTATTTCATAATCACACATTTCTTTTTGAAGTAATACTTCTTTTGGCGCGATGAAGAGAAATGATGAGAGTGAATTTTTACGATTCGCACACCGACACCTAAATTCTACATCGTTAAGTTAGTTCTAGGCGGCATGAAAATCGATAATAACTATGTTCAAGTTGTATATTCTAGTATTTTTATAATTAGAACACGTGTTTCGTAACAGTACAATTAAACAGTGTGAATAAATAAATATTATTTTGGTGTTTTTATTAAATCAATTTCATATACGACGGTGATAGTATTTACTAATAATAATTTATTATTTATTAGTATATCTATATATATTGAATATTAGTGATAAAACTGATTTGAATAAACTGTTTTGAGTGCATTTATAGATTTGAGGTTAATTGTCGGTATGTATAATTTATTTCCATACGCCAAAGAAGTATAACTTTGGGGTACACACACTCTTTTTTAAAAACAAAAAAATATAGCACCGAGAGAAATATTGTGTACAATGCTTTTGACCATAGAGTATATAGTGGTTTATTTGTGGGAGTATTAATTTATAAATAATATAAGATGCATTATTGTTAGATAAAAATGTTTTCTACCCGATTCTGTTAGTTTAAATCTGGTACCATGGCGATCGGCGCACCCAACGAAGTCTGTACGCGCCTTGCTCTGTGCGAATTTTTATTGAAGCGCCTTCAGCCGCCTTCACTGTTTCCTTTACCTGTACAAACAAAAATGGAAAATCTTATATATAAAATTCTCGTGTCACAATGTCAGTTACCATACTCCTCCAAAACGACTCGACCGATTTTTATCAAATTTTATATGCATATTCAGTAGGTCTGAGAATCGGCTACTATCTATTTTTCATAGCCCTAAGTGATAAGAGTTGTCCACCCCTTACATTTTATTTTTATTTTTGGGACGAAATTTTAATTTAATTTTTTTATAATGTGCCATTAAAAAATACATACAATCCTAAATTTTCACCCCCTCTACCATAATCCCCTATTTTTTATTATTGACAGTTATTTTAATTAAACAAAAAAATGTTTCCTAGAAATAATATATGTACATGGCAAAACAACATTTCCCGGGTCAGCTAGTATATATTTAATATTGTTTTGAGAATTGAACCTTCAATGATTAAGGCAGTAGTGGAAAATAATAGCATTATTTAAATATTAAAGCATAAATCTGTCTTATTATAAATCCAATGGCACGATGTCCTACAGATATTTGTGGTGTTAGGAACAATGTGACTTTAATTTGACTTTATTATCTAATATATAAAATTCTCGTGTCACAATGTTCGTTTCCATACTTCTCCGAAACGGCTCGACCGGTTCCTATGAAATTTTTATACATATTGAGTAAGTCTGAGAATCGGCTACTATCTATATTTCAAACGCCGTTAAGTGGTAAGGGGTGTCCACCCCAAAAATTTATTTTTTATAATTCTTTTTTTGTTTTTATTTTTTTATGATACAGCGTACGAAAATACATACAACCCTTAATTGTCACCCCTCTACCCTATTTTTTATTAAAGTAAATAGTTATTTTTATTGAACTAAATGTTTCCTAGAAATAATATACATGGCAGAACGACGTTTGCCGGGACAGCTAGTCTAAAAAATGTAATTTGCAAGAAAAATGTTTGTATTTTAACTTACACTTTGCATGAGATTTTGTGCGTTTCCAACCAACATCTCAGTCGCCTCTTGGTCTTCTTCGCTACCTGAAAATGTAACACCGTACTATTAAACAAAATGATCTTAGAAACAATTACAATTTTAGGGTATTAAAAATATATCAAACAGTAAATAAATACCTCTATACTCCGCCATACCGACTGCATAAAATACATATAATAAATTAAGTAAGAAGCTTTTTTTACAAGTATAGGTAGTAAGATAATAAAAATATTGTGTGTGATTGAAAATGGCAACATTGTTTGATATTTCAAGAGGATTTTCCCACTGATGATACAAAGAAAAGTAATCGTTTTAAAGACTAATGCATTTCGTATATAATTTAAAAAAATATAGATTATTGCAACTTCTCATTTCAATTTTTTGAAACATTTAAGTATGGCAACATTTTTTATTTACAAAAAACAAATCCAAAGAACCTAAGTTTTTTGCTAATTCTAAAAACGGTTGGAGGTTACTATTAATATAATATTGTTGAAAGCGTTATAAAATTGGTAAACTAAATAAAGTTAAGTTCATACCTTGTGCTCCAAGCATAGTAGCCTTAACGGTGGACAAGATCTTCAATTGAGTGCCGATAGTTGGGATACGCTCGCAAACTTGCAGTAGGTTCTAGAAAAAATAATTAACAGTTATTAAGTGAGGCAGGGTGATTAAAACCAATATTAATAACTTTAATTAATTACTTTTACAAATAATAAACTTAACTAAATACAATTATTTAATCGGCCCGATATTAGGTGCACGATAAATATATTATATAATAAACTTAACTACTTGAGACTTGACCGGTCCGATATGAGGTATCCGATCAAAAAGCTCCTGGTTCTCTTGTCCCTTTCCTTATATATAGCGTAGTTTCGTAAGAGGTGACTTGTATTGGGTATGGGGGCAAAGGGAGTGCAATGAATATGTAACATCTCCCCGTAAGATGAGCAACTATTTGCTATTGATGTCTATAGCAAAAGTTGGGTCGAAGTTCTTGGCAGACATGTTCTTATTATCCGTTTTTGAAATGGCTTGAAGATGTATTTGGCGAATCGGAGTACGAAGAAAAGTACAGCTGGCCCAGGAGTGTGGTCATAGCGAAGTACAAAGGAATCGTTGTGTGGTATATTATGTTTGATGAATCATATGTTTCCGCCGGTGCTTTCATTGTAATTCCATTTTGCATATTGTGTAACTTCGTGAATGATTGAATTAAGTTGACACTGGTTGATTTTGTTGAATATTGTCCATTGAGGAAAATTAATGATTTCGACACCGCTTCCTTTAACTCGGTCGTCGATGTTGGTGGCCGTAATTTATATGCATTTCGACGATGGTGGACCTTTGTCATCGATTTCTGGATGGGTGTGTGGTGCTGTCCTGGTTCTTGTGAATGTCGATTAAAACTTGAAGTCTATTAGTTGCGTACTCTACGTAGGCGATCTACGGAGTATATTACTTAGTACGGACTGACTCGACGATCCTACCGACTGCGCCAATTAAGTGAGGGCCAGGGTGGATTCCAAAAAACAAAATATATTAATATTACTTTAATTAATTACTTTTACAAATAATAAACTTAACTAAATACAATTATTTAATCGGCCCGATATTAGGTGACGATAAATATATTATATAATAAACTTAACTACTTGAGACTTACCGGTCCGATATGAGGTATCCGATCAAAAAGCTCCTGGTTCTCTTGTCCCTTTCCTTATATATAGGTAGTTTGTAAAGGTGACTTGTATTGGGTATGGGGGAAAGAGTGAATGAATATGTAAGTTATTAAACAATAATATTTTTGTTTATCATTAGGTTAATCATCATCGTTTCTCAAGCCCCCGCTTGTGGTCGAGTTTATTTTTAAAAGGCGATCGCAGTCTGTTGAGAAATAACAAAAGATTCGTTATAGCGCGCTATGTACATATTATTATAAATTTACAGAGACGAGGTCGCAAGACTGTTTTACGTAACTTTTTGGATTTTTCGTGGGTTGCAACATAAAAATGGTTGAGAAACGATGATTTAGGGTATTTATTTCATTATTTTTCTATAATATAATAATAATAACTGCTCTGGAGAAATACATCAGAGGCGCTGATAACTGCTGTCATTCCATGACATTAGTGAAGCAACGAAACGTTAAGACAGTTGTAAAGTATGTTTCGATCATTTGAGCTATTAATAATTATTAATATTGTTGAATTAATATTTATATATCATAGATTTCGTAAATATAAGGCAATATTAGTGTGCTATGATATAAGGGTGCGCAAGCGCTACTTACAGTTCGAATTCGCTTGTCGGTACACTCGAGGGCAAGTTTCTTCGCCAGTCTAGTCACCTCCTCTGAAGCCTCAGCGATAGCTTTAGCGGTGGCGATCAGTTCACGCTTACTACCTGTATATTATATTAATAATAAATATATATTTTGCATATGTATCAAATACTTAAAAAAAATCTATCTAAAGAACCTGTTTTTATTTTTCCATGGTGATTAAGTGTATTTGGAACTAAACTAAATCTTTATTATTCGAAAACTATAAATTTTGTATGGGACAACAACGCGATCGAGCTGTCAAATACTGATATTATATAGAGAACTATGGTAATGAAATTTTTTATCTACTAAGGAAAAATGATAACACATCAAATATATATTTTGAGATAAATTTGTATTTATTAATAGCAGGCGTAGCAAACACAAAGCACACGATACTTACCACTTAAATTCATAAAGACTTCTATCCAGGTAGCATACAAACAGACAATGCAATAATACAGCAATAAATGAAATTTACAGATTAATACATGATTGACAAGTTGATATGAGCTTAGCAAGCTTTGCACACATATCCAATAACAATATTACAAAAAGCACAGGGTTATTTATACAGCTATTCTAAAATATATGATGAATTGCTAATATAAAGTATAAAAAGTGCCTAAAACTATAGCTGTCTCTTTCGCTTTGTATGGTTTAGACAATGACAGCTACATTTTGAACAATATAACAGAAAATATTCCCTATCTTTGGTTTTAATCCAATGTATGAATAATACCAGTAACGTACTAATCTAATAGCATGTCAATAAAAAAATGGGTACTTTTAAGACACATTTTAATATCATTAGATAAATCTCATTTGTACATATGTAATTCTCAATCATATATTAACGTAATCATTGAATAAGTAATTTATTGTTTAAAGTTATTTATTGTAATTAATAAGCGTATTACGTAATGTATCTGGTCAAACGGCACATTATTAAGAACAGGGGGCAAACGGGCAGGAGGCTCACCGCCGCCCATTACACTCTGAATGCTAGAAAGCTCGCAAGTACGTTGCCGTCATATTAAGAATTGGTACGCTCTTTTCTTTAACTACCCTAAGTCGAATTAGTACGGAAATACTTCAATCTTCTGGTTCCACATAGTGGTAATGCGCAAAAACTGCCTTAAATTGCTTAGTTGTGGAACGACGGACGTCGAGGTGATACGGAATTTTGGATGGTATATTTAGTGAATAATGATCTGTTTACCATACATCAGTAATGTATGATAATTGTAATGAATAAATTGGTAACTTACCCTTGGAGTCCGATCGTACGAGGTCTGAGAGTCGAGCCATGAGAATAGCCATTCGTTTCGCGGCTGCGATGATCTCATTGTCCTTCGAAGACCATTCCCGGACAGCGCGGTGCAAGTTGTGGGCTGCCACCTGTATGTCAGTGTTATTATTTAGAATTATTTTTGTTTCTGTTAATAATTAAATTTAGTTTTTTTAATTTCTAAGATTACTTATCTTTAGCAGTACTGTGTTTATTATACGTGTTTATTATTATTGCTTTGTTGTTAAGCATTGAGATTTATTCTATTACTTTTAAGAGTAATAATTTAATTTGATTTACATTATTATATTTAATTGTTTCATATTCATAAGAATAACGACCAATCAGAGCAGAGCAAATGCCTTGAGTGGTGTCAAGAGTATTCAGCGGAACATTGTGGGGATTAGACGGTGGACCGATGTGCGTCTACTAGTTATTAAAAGTGTGATCGGTGCGGTGGAATCTGTTCGCTAGTTATAATTTAAGCTAAAGTGTTATTTGTAGTTAAAAGAATTGATCTTAATTAAATGTAAATTACGATATTTCTTTGACATACGTAATCGGTACCAAGACTCATATAAACTTTTGTGACCTTGTTTCAATGTACACTTTTTAGTGGAAACACATGCTTAAACGTTATTTAACCACGATAATTATATGATTTCTATATTTTAGCAATTTATTTTATTTCTCAATTCTCTAAATGTATTACTCACCAAAATTGGCTGACTAGGATGGGGCTGCCTATCAAAGATATCCTCTCCCTCGTCGTCGGTATCTGGAGGCGGCGGCCTGGGTGGCGCAGAAACGGCTGGCGGCGGAGGCCTGGGGGGCGCGGCCTCTCGCACGTTGACGCGGAGGGCAGCGAACGACTCCGGCAATGCCGGTGGCGGCGGTGGAGGTCCGTACTGCCGGGCTAGGGCTTCTTCTACGCCATTCGACGCTTTAATAATCTGATAAACAGTGGAAATACTTAAATATAATTCCGTGTCTTAGGAGTATCAGTGCAAGGAAGTCATTATAATTTATTTTTGTATCTAGACGGTCGCTTATTATTCGTTTTTAATACTTACTACTATAACACTATTGAATACTTGAATCTAAATTGATAACCTGTTCACTATGTTTATCTAATAATAATCTATTCAGCTTGTAAAGTATCAAAATGCCCGTAAGAACTCCAGTTAAGCCTTTAGGCTTATTCCTATAAGATTATATCGGAAAGCAATCTAAATAAATAAAATATGTTTCAGTACAATATATACCACTTATGACTGTTAGGGAGTGTTCAAATATTACGTCACGAATTTTGGGACGGGGGTCCTTTTGTAAAACGCAACGATGCGGGGCGGGGATTGAATTACGCGTTATTGTTATTATTATTTTCGACTTTCCAGTACTGTACACCACATATTGGTAACTTTTAGGTATAAAGAGTCACTGGCTGGTCACGAAACGTTTTACTATTGGGAATTTTAAAATTATTACGGCGCGTTACGTGGGGGGGGGTCCAAAGAATGTCCAAAAATTGCGTGACGTAATACTTGAACGCTCCCTTACCGACTCGGACCATACCTCATTATTAGCAGCTCTCCAAGCGGGAACAGCGCTTCTGTCTTGTAGAGCGACTAGTTTCGCGTGTCTTACGGCGGGCGGAATGCTGGCTTGTAGGCGTTGCTGGGCAGCGCCCAAAGCTAGAGCGAACTCACTATCTTCAGTGTTCTCGCGCTCCGCTCCACCCACGAGGAGTACGCGGTTCGCCAACCTAAAAAAATTATATTCATAATACGTATATCGAAACATCTAGTATTAGAGTGAGAGTTGAAACTTGATGCGAACTAACTCATATATGACAAAATCCAAAATTTTTTTGAGATACGAATATCATTTGAGCTAAACGTACTTTGACCCTTAGTACGTAGACGTGCTTGTCTCTCCTTTAACTTTTTTAATCATATTTAAAAGTTTGTACACGCTTTCCCCTTCATTACACGGATACTATTACTATATCATAAACTTTTTCACGACACTTATCCACATCATGAGGGCTTACACTTAATCTAATCATAGTAAAATCTAGCCGAGGCGGGTTACATTATACTAATGGTGCAAGAATTCTAACCTAATGTTCTCTCATTCGCAACAAACATGCAATTCTTTTCTCTTTATAATACTAGTAATGATACTATAGATTTCGTGAACCGTAAGGTATAGTGATGTGAGTGAGTAAAAAATTCTATAAGCGTTAAATGAAAGAATATACATACAATTTCAAATACAATATTTGTCTACATACACATCATGACATGAGGAAGACTCCTCATTACGATTATGGTACTTAAACAGACTGTACTGTGTTAATGCACTTACCTAGCGATAGCGGATGTGTTGTCGACCATTTTCTGCGAGTCGTTGTTGCGGATAGCGTCTTCACATAAATATGTATGTTTCTGCATCAGCTCACCTAAAATTACCAAATATGTATTATATATACGTAGTTACTATGATTGTGGAATACGTTATTACTTCAAGTGGTTAGGTTTTGTTAAATATGCCTTAACACAGAACTTTGGTTGTTTGTCATAAACTGAAAAGCTTAATAAATTAAGGATATACATATTACAACTGAGAAAATCCAATAAACTTAGTTCGGACTATATCGTTCTCATTTCAGCTCACTTCATCAAGCATCAATCATCATCAATATACGAATATGAACCTTTTCGTTCTTTTAAGAGTATTACAACATTTCATAAAACTTCTTTAACGGACGAACGAATTTTTAATAGATTGTTATTATTAATTATTTACATATTAAATATTAGTAATTGCATACCCGCAGTCCGTACAAAGTCGAGTGGGTCAAGTGCCTGGTCACAAAGATCTCTGCAGCGCAACACTGCATCCGCGTACTGGTTCTTTAAGTTGTTGAAATGTTCTTCTGCGACCTATAAAAAAATATCGAATCAAGCCTTGTATAAGGGAAAGGAAACACTGAAATTTTATTAGACATATCCCATTGTGTTAAATCATGTTTAATTTTAAAACGTTTAAGATTTTATTGTTCTCTTAAACGAGAATACTCAATAAGTATTAAACTTAATAATTTAAATAAGTGGACTTTTAAGTATAGAGAAAATCACAATACCTTGCTTTCGGGATAATGTAGACGAATTTTTCCTGCGCAAATCAGTTGCGGGGAAAGTTTTTCGACCTGAAAATTGAATTCATATTAACATTTATATTTTCAATTATTCTGTTTGTATTGCGGGTTCGGCGAACAATCTAACACAAATCTGCATTAAATATTTGTATCAGTCTTAATGCTATAAAATAGTTGTGGCGTTAATTAGGCAAACCCAATAATAATTTTCTTAAAGATTCATATTTCCATTTCAATTGTCCTTATAAGAATACAGTTCTTATTATATATACACAAGAACATGGAGATGTTTAGCCATATTTTTAAATTTCAAACAAAAAAGTTGGACATACACAAAAAAACATGCTCATTATCCTCGGTCTGGTTTAATGAAGATGGTAAAAAATTAACGAATTTTATTTATTCCAATATCTCAATCCAATGATTTTTTTCTTACCTCTTTAGCATTATGATGCAGCATATCAGCTAATTTCTTATTATGGCGTACTCCAGCAGCCACCATATCAGCAGCGGCAGCAGCCTTCCCGCTAAACGCTTGCAAGCCATTCGCCTTCTCTTCGAACTTTAACTCGCGGCCCGGGGTTCCTTTTCCATTTGCATACAATAAAATTTACTAAGTTTGTAAGAGCGTTTCAAGGGTTATACTCAATATTTTGTCCTAATTCTATCAATAAGAAAGTTTAATATTCACGAATGTTTATTCAAACTCACACTTTAAATAACTTTATTCATATAGGTCACCAAATACACTTATGAACGTCAACATTACTACCAGGTTGCAAGTCAAAGGCGTAGAGCGGGCAAGAAGAACTGGCAAGAAACTCTCCGCCACTCTTTTTAACCGCCAAGTTTCGAGTCACACAAATTGTTTGAACTGGAGTTTGTTATTTTTGTACTCTGAATACACTACAGCCATTTTCTAAATTATTTCCTACTAAATTCATGTATATAAATCGTATATATATATTATATATACTATAATTTTAGTTAAATAATTGTGAATGACGAGGTTTTTTTGTGTTATATTGACCATGTAACAAACTTTTTGTGACGTAAAATGTGGCCAAGTGACGTACGGAGTTACACTTTCGCTTGTAGAAAAAGAATGAGTAAGAAAAATATAAATAATGAAATACCTAATGGAGCGTTAACAGCATCTGTAAAGTGTCTGAGAGGTGCAGCGACATCTATGAAGTCTTCAACTACTCGATTGACGACAGCACGATCCAAGCCGCGTTTTAACTCATGCAATTTGTCCGTCAACTCCCTGTAAGATTTATTTTGTATTTATCACCTCGCTGCATAACAAAAATACTACTATGAGAAAAATACATTGAAGATAATCGTTTCGTACAAAAAGCTTTATCGATTTTTTTTCAACTTTGTACTGAACATTTTGTCTTGGGATTTTAATTTAACGATATTGAGAATTTATAGTTTTTGTTTTAAAGAAACTATGGGAAAATAAGGTAAAAAGAAAGACGAAACGTTTCGTTCGACTGTTATCAATTTAAAATATATTTTTAATTCAAGTGAGTATTTCTTTATTTATTTGTACATTTATTTACAGGTTTAAAAAAATACATAATAAATGAACATATTTTGTAATAAGTGAAAGCAAAGTTAATAATTGATTGTACAATTGTACATAGAGGATCTTTAAAAACTTACCTAGTAACAGCCCTGGCTTCGTCTGAGTCGCCGCGTCCGCGCATACACAGATCAGACAACTTGTCAGACAAATGTTGCACCTCTGAGCAGAGCTGCATTATTTCCGCTTTCTCTCGTCCGTGCAGGTTATCGGCAATCTAAAATTTTTGAATTAAGCGGTGTGAAGTCTGCCGCAAGCTCTATTCGCTCGGATATTAGTCGCAAATGCGGACTTAGGTACTGATAAACAATAAGGCTGCTGCCTCGAATTTTGCGGGCAGCGGGGCGGCAACGGCGGCGGCGCGGGAGCGGCAGGATCTTATGCGTAAAATCAAATGGACCGGTTCTCGAAAACAGCGGCGTGGTAGCGGCGCGAGGGCGGGTAACGAGAGGTGCAATCGCCCGCTCCCGCGCCGCCGCCGCTGCCCGCAAAATTCGAGGCAGCAGCCTAAGACACCTGCACTGATACAAAGTTCCGAGTCGTCATAATGATTGCAATGGTTAAAACATTTCTTAATTGTTCTCTAATGATTTTATCATTCAAATAGCAATTTTAAACATACAGTATGCCCCTGCGCCACAATGCTGCTAATAGCCTTCTGTCCTTCAAGACGGGTAGCAGGTTCGGCTGCCGGGTGAAGTAACCATTTGTGAGCTGCTTCTAATCTGTAATCGAAGAAATAATGCTTTTTGTAAAAAAAAAACAACTATTTTTAGTTTTGGAAACATTTTTAATATTGCTGTAACGGATATAAATTTTGCATCATTTAAATAACACTTATGTTTCTTTTAATATTTAATTTGCAAACTTACTATACGTCATATTACGTGTGTATTTATTTATAACTATACAACTAACTATAAATAAATAAACCTCGCCAAATTGCAGATAACTAGTGGAACTAATTCTTCAAATGCCTACAATCTTTCAAATTTCATTATTGATGGCCATTGTCATCTGTCAGATGTGGTGTCAGTTCAATCCCCCCCCTTTCCTTTTTCCTTTTTTTTTACGAGAAAAAAAAAAAAAAAAAAAAAAAAAAAAAAAAAAAAAAAAAAAAAAAAAAAAAAAAAAAAAAAAAAAAGGAAGGGGGGGAAAGGGGAAAAAGGGAAAAAAACACACCCACAAAAAAACCCCCCCGGCCCGGGCCCCCCAGGCCCCCCCCAAAAAAACAAAAAACACCCCAAATAACAAAAAAATTTTTTTTGGGGGGGGGGGGGGGGGGGGGGGGGGTTTTTTTTTTTTTGTTTGTTGGGGGAAACAAAGAAAAAAAAAAAAAGCATTCTCCGCCGTTGGGGTGTTTTTGGGGGCCGGCCCATAATTATAGGTATATCTTGTGCAACCTACCTGGCTTGTATCGTCTTTCCGCCTTGTTGCTCGACGGCTCTTACTCCTTCATTGACCACACCTTCTACCTCATCAAGCTGATTGCCCAGATCTGAGGCTAGTTTTAATGCCTGTAATCAAGTAAGGATTGTTATATATATTTATATAAGTTATGTTAGAAGTAGTTGCCCTCTCATATCATCTCAGCGACATCAGTGCTACAGATATTGAGAGAACAGTATCGCTGTCGTTATTGGAAGTTGCAGAGTAAGGGGCTTTGAGCTACATTCATAAAAGAAATGGAATACAAGTTAGAAGTTTTACCAAAATTTACTAGTACGGGTTCTTGTATTATGTATTTTTTGTGTCACACTTTTGAAAATTCAGGACCAGTTTCGATAGAAAAATTCAAATAGCGCCGAAGTCATTGGACATTTTTACAAAATAAAATAAGATTAATTACGTATATCATAACAATGTTCTTTATTTTCATACCTTAGGTTCCTTGCCTCGCCCGAATTGTCTCTCATCACACAGTACATCAGCGTTGATACCACCAGACCTAGAAGATAATTTACATATTGTTACACATATAGAACGTCACTTCAATGAAACAAAATAAATATCTTACAGGTTTGAACCGCTATCGGAAAAATGTCACGTGACCTAGCGTGATACCGCTTACCCAATTTGTAAATTGCAATTGTATTACGTCCTCCGCAAATTGGTTTACTTTGCGCAGTTACAAGGAGGTTATGTCTAGTCAACACATGTTCAATCATCAAACCATCAGACACGTGGTTATCGTAAGTGTTTCTCAGAGCACGTTTGTCTGACGATAAGATAAATCCGCTGAGAGAAACTTCCGTCTTTAGTGACGGAACTTGGAAAAAAATGGTAGCAAAATATCTCAAACAAACTTCTGTGGTACTTGCCAAGAAATGTGTCAAATAACACAGACAAAATAAAGAGGCTGAGACAAAGCAACAGTAAAATGATAAATGTACCTGACAGTAGATCTAAGTGTATCAGCATGGGCGGGAGTGAGATGTTCAGCGGCACGTTGTCCCGATGTCAATACGGAGCGTAATGCACGCTCACCCACTGTATTACGTAGGGCTTCGGGATCCTATAAGTTTAAAAGTTGTTTATATGTAGTAAGAATCCGTCAAGAAGGACTGATTCAGAATTTATCAGTAAGGAAAAGCATCACGTAACGCAAATTTTGAAACCCCCTTCCCCCATGTAACGCTCTGTGACGTTTTTCTCTACATAACCCACAGTAAAACGTTACGTGAACACCAGATAACTATTTTTACCGCACAGTTATGTGGGCGAAGGTATCGGAAAGTCGCTAAAATACCTTTGTTGTTTAAATCGCGTTAATATTAACGCATCGTAACTTTTAGAAGACCAAAATTCATTACGGTAATACATACTAGTTTTTAATTTTATTGAGTACTGTCAACTGTTAGCGACAATTGTATAGTATGAAGCGTTTGCGCATGTTGTAGCATAAATACTAAATATTATCTTCGATGCACCTCATTCCTTCTTAACACAGCACAACATACAGAAATGTTACACTAACATATAATATTTATTATTTAAAACCAATTACATTAAGAAACTCGTGCGCAGCTCCCGCTTTGTTATGTATCATGGATTGCAGCGCTTTCAGTACTGCTATATTGTCCTTCTCTCCGCCGTCCTCTACGTAGGACGTTAGTTGCAACACCCTGTAGAAGTTACATCACTCATCAGATATCATCACAAACACTAAGTACGACTATCTACTAATTATATCTATACTAATATTATAAAGAGGAAAGATTTGATTTTTTGTTTGTTTAAAATGAATAATTGAATAGGCTCCGAAACTACTGGACCGATTTCAAAAATTCTTTCACCGTTGGCAAGCTACACTATTCCCAAGTGAAGTGGCTATGTTTCATTTAAAAAAATTAGGGATCATACAAAACTTGATAATCTAACCTAAGGTGTAAAAAAAATAAACAAAAAACTTCCTTCAATCGCATGCGCTGCGAAAACTATTAATGATGGAACAAAATGGTGTATATATTACAATTTTTCAAGACACATCACTATCTATAAAAAATGTCGCGACAGCATGTCTCTATCTTTTATAGTTACGTCACAATAAGCATCCTTTTATTATTATTTTTTTATTGAAATTCCACCGCTAGAAAAGGCTCTTTATTGTACCTACGATATTGTCCTTATCAAAATAAATACCAACGTTTCACATAAGCTACAATTTAATGGCATAACCACCAAAAAAGCATGGTGGATTGGTGTTCTCCAGCCATTGCTCTTAAATAGTTTACAACTAGAAATATAACAAAATTCTTAGCCACAGCACCGCTTGGCCGAGTCTACTAGTATGGTTATAAAAAAATATGATGATGAAATTATTATAAAAAGCTTAATAATTATAACAGAGGTCCTTTTTTACAGAATAGTCGAGTATAAAGAATATTATTTATATGAATAAAGGTAGGTCTTTCTTGCTTCAATTTCAAGTACTTCTACTTTCCTACTACCCACAGAAAGCATAGCGCAGCAGTTTATACGTGCTACTTGCATTTTTATTAATCACATTTTCTATAAGTGAAGAAGATGTAAAATTCATACCTAATTATTTCGTGAATTTCATCCGCCATGCGTTTTGCTAAATAGTTTCTGTTCTCTGATGCGTCTTCAATACCCTTGCCACCTAGAAAAATAATAGTAGCTTTTAATTTTACTCTTGTGGTTTTCGCTTTTACTAAATAAAAAGGATGTAGGTATTTAGGAACCTGGTTTCGGGGTAGGCCAAATTATGATAGCTGTTACTTGTTCTTTTATCAATGCTTGCCTTATGATGCGCTTTTTCGGACCTTACCTTCAGACAGTATATGGATGTATATCTTCATTGAGCAGATGAGGACTGGAGCCAACTTTTTGACGCTTTCCAAACAGCGAGTCAAAGTTTCCGCGTGTGGAGGATGCGTTAGTTCCGCGGCGCGGGCTGCTACCTATAATCAAAAACTTATTAAATGGTTTTTGCCAATATCATGGATTTTTACTAACATTAGCGATGGTATGTCACCGTAAAGTTGTTACATTATTTATCTCGCGATATTTCAGATGATCTTGTTGGCTTTATTATATCGAAAAATAATGCGTTAAATAGGTAGCATATCGCGTTCACGGATCTAGTGGATCAAAAATGAGCCTACCAGCAACCAGGGAATATGAAATAAAAGATATTGATTGAATGGTTTTTGCCAAAAATACATGATGTATTTTAACGAACATTAGCGATGGTTTTCACTTCCGTAAAATTACTACATTATTTATCTCGCGATATTTGACAGCGATATGTATAAGGATCTAGTGGTTGAGAAGAGTACCAAAAACCTTGGAAAATAGTAGCGAAGATGAGAGACAAATGGCAGAATTTGTAGGAAGCACCCCGTCAAAGGTCATGTACTCAAATTAAATATAATAACAGAAACATAATGTAATCTTTAATATTGTACTCGAACACAGGCAATTTTTTATTTTATTTATATACAATTTTTCTATAGTTTATTAATGGCACGGCACTACCATTGTTTAGTTTAAATGTATCAATAGATGGCGATTGTTACGCATGGCTTTAGTTATGAATTTAAAATTCTATTATAGGAGATAACGTAGTACTTGCTCGTTCATAAAATATATGCGTCATTATATAAAAATCTTAGTTTTGAGCGTACGCGCTGAAAGATTGTTCAAATATTGACGTAACATACGGTAGAGTTACACCATTATTGGAAATTACATAAGATATTGGTATATATGTGCATTAAAAAATCATAGATTCCAACTATAATACGAGTTTAAAAAAACCAAATTCAATCCCATGTCAATTGAAATTCTTATAATTAATTAATCACGCCGTTCGGAACAAAATAATGTCTTTAAATTTAAAACTAATATTTACTTTAAATCAAATGTAATTGTTAAGTCAACTTTATTATTATAACAGTTTGAATATTTGGATTAATACACATCAATAAAAATATTATCAACTCAATTTTGATATTTATCGTTTTTTACCTCTCTCGCTGCTTTCGAAAGCGCTGGTGATATGTCCCTCAGGAACTGCACTAGGTCCTCCATAGTATCTATTACTTCAGCCACACCTAAATAGTCTAACACCTAAAACAAAATCATATAGTTTATAAGCGCAATGAAACCATTTTCACCAAAGCTGTCTCTTTAATATTCAGCGGAGCTCGCTTTATGAGTAAAAGAGGAATGACTGTAGTACAGTTTTACAATTGAATTTTATATTGGTCTTAAAATATTTTAAAGCTGTCAACAATTTGTATGAAAGTACCTTTTTGCATTCTTTTACGATCTTCCTAACTTCCGACTCGTCGAAGCACAACAAAAGCGCCGATGTACCTTGAAGAATACCTCGAGAGCCTTCTATCAGCTTCTTCCTGTAAACGACAAGTTCCATTGAGTCAGCGATATAAGGTGGGTTTATTCCAGAACGACGGCTCCAATAATATTTATTACTCAAAACCGCGTGATCATACTTTGGTATCGTCTTTTAATTTCGCCACGAATTCAACCCAGGATAACCTAAACATCTTCCTTAGAACTAAGAGTTACTGCAGCAAGGCCATAACGAACTTTTCGACAATTTGTTTTTATATTGTGTATTTGGAAAGAAAAAATATATGAAAGGTCTACCCTAAGAAAGGGTACCTGTTCAAGTATTACGTAAGCACTATAGGGGGGGTGGGGGTTTTGATTTTCTTATTTGGTGCTTACGTCAACAGTAATTATTTACTTTTTTACACATATTACCCACACATTGTCTATGCTTGAAAACGAAATACATTTTCGAGGATTCCTACAAAACAACTATTATTTTTGAGAGCTTTGCTTGCTTTTGCTGATAAGAGGAAGGGGGAGGGGGGATAAATTGCAGTAAATCTGCTTACGTAATACTTAAACAGGTACCCTTTCTTAGGGTAGACCTTTCATATATTTTTTCTGATTATACATGTGGATTTATATAGTTGCTGTTGGTATATAAATACATTAAGTGCTGTGCTTATAGGTACTCTGCAATATTGTAAAGAGACCGGAAAAGCTTAGTATGTTTTATGTCCTTCTTTTTGTACTTTAAGTTTTATATAAATAGTTATTCCAAACCTGGCAGGTCCCGAATACGGGTCGGCCCTCAACATGTCAGAGGCCTGTTGGAGAAGTGTCGCGGCGCCTTCCACACGCCGTAAAGCACCAGGCATATCGCCACGCAGGATTGGGTCATCTGACGACTCGATAGTCTCGTGGCCCACCTAGAGCAAGAAAAAAATCCATTATACGCAATGTAGTCCGTCGATTACATAGTAAAGGCATTTTTAAAACGTTAAATTTGATATAAAGTTAAAATAAGGCGAAAAAATAAATATTTTTAATCAAATAAATTACAGTGTATTTGGGACATAATAAGGTAAGTTTTCACCAAATTTCGTAGAAAAATTTTTTTGAAAGATATAAATAACCAAAAACTTGGTTTTTTAATTTTTCACCTAAATTTTGAGGTTATGTTAAAGAAATGCAGATACAAAAGTTGTAGATCTTTTATTACTACAACTTTCTTTAACCTTTTTCCATAGGACTTGTAGTTTTGCCGGAAATCAAGATAAACCATTTTTTACCCTAAAAACTCCCTTTCGACGATCGTCTGTATTATTCCTTTTGACATATTCTCTTTTCTAATGGTTTCATCCTACTGAATTTTTTTAATTTTTCATTTTAAAGGCCCTAGTAGGCGAATTGTATACTTGAGATTTTGTAATGCTCTATTTCAAAATAATATTTTAATTCAGTCGAAACAGCGGCAATAATTGAGTATGTGTTTGGTTTCTATTCTTAGCTACTAATTACCTTCACGAGATTGTTGACGGCAAGTGACACGGCCTGCACTGGCCGTGCCAGGTCCGGCATCGCGTTTCCATCTTCTGCTTCTTCATGAAGGATTACTAGACGGGAAACCTGAAAGTTAAAATAATGATTTTCAAATGAAATTTTAGTGTATAAAAAGAGTTAATTACCTAGCAGGATTTAGAACAGAATTTATGCATATTTTATTAACGCCCGAAACAATTATAATAGGGCGAATCCCAGGACCTCTAGCTTAAACGAATTGTGCGTAACTTAACAACGTAAAACGTTTTTAGTATGTAAGACTGTCATTTCTTTATAAAAAATTTAGCATTATAGTATATTAAAATTGTTAGTTTAAATTGGGTCCGTTTTGAAAGCATAATAGCGTAAGTCTATTTATTAGTGAATAAATTATTATTCAACTAAATATGAATGCAAATTGAGAGTAAATATATATATTTGTTTTTTAAAAGGTTTTATATAATCTCATTTGGTAATATTCTAATTATTATGAAATGAAATACAGACTTTTATTGGCATATTTTATTTACATACTTCTTTAAGAAAATTAAATTAAAGCATTATTCTCCTAACAAAACAATGCTTCAAAACAATTTTTTTAATATTAAAGTACAATGTGTACCGACCAAGGAGGCTTCAATGGAGGAGGAGTTTTAAAAATAGCTTGCGGCTCGTTTCAAAAAACTACACTCATGTTTTAATACCCTCTATTTTGGGTATGTTCCGATATACACTGCGAGTACCTACTGTATAGTGCTCCCACTGTTCAAAAATTCGTTCCGCTATGGACTGCCAGTATACAGCCGCAGCGTCCTAGGGAAATATATGACGTCACAAATCCCCGCTATACTTCTACTGCGAGCACTGCACTGGCGTTTTCGAGGTAAGGTACTCGCAGTGCTTTGATCACGTGATCAATCAAAACCACTTGAATGCCTAACGGCTGATATAACTTACAGATTAATAACAAACATTTAAAATTCTAACTTACTTTCTTTGTAGTATTAATTCAATTGACAGTTAATATTAATATAGATTTTTTTTAATGCGATAATACTCCAATAATAGTTATTCTTGTTGAATTGAAAAACTTTGATGCACTCATTTGAAAACTGTGTCGAAAAACGAAGCTGACTAGTATACTGGACTGCGTTCCGTTTTAAATTGTAACCAGTATAGCTGGCTATAGAGAAACGGTTTCACAGTATACTAAATTGACGGTACTCTGTACAGTGGTCGCAGTGTATATCGGAACATACCCTATATGACAGTTGCATAAATTACTATTATAAGACAACCGAGCGTTTATTATTTGACCGACGTGCGTTATCAGAGTATGCCCTTCATAACACTCTGCGTATTTGCCTCGATAAGAAACATATTCTTAGCTCTGACGTAAGCTCGACTTGCATTGCCCTTATTGAGAGATCATGAACAAAGTACGTCCTTTGCAATGACTACATTTACGAAGAGAAAGTGTGGTTAATATTTGTTATTCTAGTAGGCAATCAGAAAGCAATTTCAAATATATGTATTGTCGTACCATGCGATATCAGTAGGTGCTAAATGAATTAAAACATAATTGGATTTCGTAGTTATATGACTCCATAATAATCAGTATCGGCTCTTTGGAGATTTTTATTATCACGTGTCTTATACTAGAACAGTGTAGGCCTAGTGGCTTCAGCGTGCGACTCTCATACTTGAGGTCGTAGGTTCGATCCCCGGCTGTGCACCAATGGACTTTCTTTCTATGTGCGCATTTAACATTTGCTCGAACGGTGAAGGAAAACATCGTGAGGAAACCGACATGTCTTAGACCCAAAAAGTCGACGGCATGTGTGTCAGGCACCGGAGGCTGATCACCTACTTGCCTATTAGATTGAAAAATGATCATGAAACAGATTCAGAAATATGAGGCCAAGACCTAACGAGGTTGTAGCGCCACTGATTTTTTTATCTTTTACTAGTAAGTACTCATATAATAGATTTATATAGTACTTAAATATAAGGATCAAATACGAGAAATATTTTTTTTTGTGGATCAGCGCACAACCTGGAGGTCGGGGAGTCGACCTCAAGCTTTGCGTTATTTGTTTCTTTACGTGTAAAACACCTCGCGGCTAAGTAAAAACTCTTACTTCAAGAACAGAAGGCCGGTCACCTTCTTGCTTATTAAGAATTTCGATAAATGAATCACGCAAAAATCGAGGCCAAACTAACAACGGGATGTAGTGCGACTGGATTATTATTAATAAATACCAAGTGATTTAATATAGCGTACGTGCTAAAATGTAACAAAATGTATGAATGAACGTCTTACTAGTTACGTGTACAACCGTATAAGGCAGCGGCGCCCGCACACCACCAAGTGTTAAGCGTGGGTTTGCGAACCTTTTAAAGCTATCTTGAGGTTGTATTGATCAACTTTAGTGTCGGTTTTTGTAGATTTTTAAGAATAGTTTTAAAATGCAAAGTTTTCTTCTTTTTTTTTGTTCACTTACTCCTAAGTCCTACAGTCAAGATATACAAACATCGATACGTTTTAGGACCTAATTTATAAAAATAAATAAATGAAATGCGGTTCGTTGCTCTTCCTAAAGTCGAGAATGGCTAAACCGATTTGCCTAATAATGCCTTGAAATAATTGTGGAAGTTCAGGGAAGGTTTAAACGGTGGAAAACATGAATAACGAAAAATACTCAAACGGTTTTTTGTATTAAATATAAAGGTTTTGTAAAAAAAAATTTTTTTGTATTAAGTCAATTGTTATGTCTATTCTAGTAATATACATATATTTCTACTAAGACATTACATACATTTAAAAACCATTATAATTACATATTACTAGTTGAAGATTTTATATACATGAAATCCTTGTAGGTATATCTTTACGCAGTGCCAAGTACCTATTACAGTATCTAGTTTGCATTGCATGACGTCAAAGGATGCTTGAAGCACGACCTGCCTCATTATAATGTACAATGTAAGTACAGACTCCAGTGCAACATTACTTTCGCTTTCTGATATATATCTTGTATACTGGTTTGTATTTATGTCATGAAGCCGTCTTTTCTAATCACTTGGTGATAAAATATATCGCGGTTTTAAATTACGATACTGCTAAAAATAATTTATTTTAAACAACAGGTTCTTTACACGACCAGGTTTAAAGGTATAAAGTAGATTGTCTTTTTATTAATTAGATCATAATATTAGATAGTATTTTTTATTATTATTTCGATAGTTTTATATTGACACTGCTACCTAATAGCGCGTATCGAATGACTTATTGAACTTTTGGCGCATCCCCAGACATTTTGTGAAGTAAAGGTGAGTGAGATATCCGCAGGCATCCTTGAGGGTAGACAGTAGGGTGCGTCGCACGGCGCACCCTTTATGCTAGCCCCGCCTTACATCTAACGATGTTTTTGTTGACTTTATGTTTACGTGACGTGGTCTTAATGGCCCTTAAGAAAACGAAAGCTTTCGAAATCTTTTACTGAAGTATACTGGTTTGTGTCTTTTTGTAAAACGTTACGATGCTGGGCGGGGATTGAATTACGCGTTATTGTTAATATTAGTTCGACTTTCCAGTACCACCACATAATGGTAACTTTTAGGTATAAAGAGTCACTAGGTGGACACGAAACGTTTTACTATACTTGGGTACAGAAAAACGTTACGGCGCCTTGCATGGGGGGAGGTCAATAATCTCCAAAAATTGCGTGACGTAATACTTGAACGCTTCCTAACCAGTACGAAATACTGACCTTACAATGATGCAACTGGATGAGAATAGATCGTTTATAACCGACGCCCACGCATCAAATTGACGTCCAAGCGTCAACTAACTTTACTATAGCAAGAGATTGAAATAAGAAAAGCGGAAAAAGTAACGATTTTTTTTTATTTAATTATTTGAAATATGAGCTCAGTCATTTGTTTCAGTTCATAGATGTACATTTAAATTTAGAAGAAAGCAAAGAACCATATTTCGCACACATTTATTTAATTATTTCCTGCAAATTCTCACAGATTCCTAAAATATTTATTATATTAATGAATAGTTTTCTTATCTGCAATTATTTATATTTAAAAAGGAATAAGTGCATCATCACAGCCTCACGCGCAGTTCTCACACGGTCCTGACACTCAAGAACTTGCGCAGAGTCCTGAGTGCAACGAAAAGACGTGGAGCATAAACTTGTTTGCCAACCGAAGTATGCCATATGGCGGAGTTGACACTTCCTACGCAACTTTTAAATCATCAATGAATTATTTCGTCATACCTTGTATCTCATGTTTTAGCTTAAAAAACATTTACTAAATGCTAACTTTAGTCTAGTATAATATGGTATGTATATGTTAAGGCAGTGTTAATTAAACTACAAAATGACTTGTTCACTTTTACTTATAATTGGTAACATAGTCTTCGATTTAACACAAGTTCATAGTAACTATCGGATTTAGAAATATACGAATATCTACAGGTGTATTAGCTATAACTGAGTATAACATATATATATAATACACATGGGCGCTGTCGCAGCGTGTGACCTTGGCCTAGAATCTCGCCGTTATTTTACTTAAGCCTTTATCTCACAAGCCCACTTCTATAAAGCTTCAACAAGCCACTGTTTTTTCACGATAAACGATGCTCATACTTTGCTAGCTTTTAAAAATGTGCCGAATAAGAATATTGAACTATAGCACGAATAAGAAAGAATCATTTTAACTGTTCCAGAACATTATTGTCGCCCTAAACTAGTTTCACTGGCAAGTGTAAGATATGTTATAATTGATAGTAAATGTATATGGCTAAATGCGAGTAGACTTTGAAAACGTTTCAACAATATCTTATGCATCACCTCAATAGTGTGAAATATTTCTAATAATAGAAGTCGCGGAAACAGCAAGCAAAACTGACGGTTGCATCATGGTTTAAAATGAAATGATTTCGACTTTCATATCATCTACCTTCAAGAAATTGAAATCTACGGTGTAAGTTGTACCTGCAGAGACTGCGCAATCATGTGTATTAGAGAACTAGATGGCATCTGAGACATAAATCAAATAACAATAAATAAAAATTAATTATAAAATATAGATCAGCCACTAAGTATTAATAACATAGCATCCTTCATAAATTTTCAACATACTTTATTAGGCCCTGCTATCGTGAACGCAATTGACTTCAATCGATAGTTCATGAAAATTAATACGAAGATCACCGCGTTTAATAATTCCGACAGTGCAGACGCATTTTTACCTGACTTAAAGCTAAAATTATTATCAAGCTTAACTGTAGTAAATTATAAACCGATAATTACGACTGTAACCTTCGAAACAACCACGCAAAGGGCACACAAATAGCAAGTTTCATAACCGACGGATGTCAACACTGTCTAATTAGACTAATTATAATAACGTCCCCGTTACTAAGCTTCACGCGATTTTTTATCCAATGTGGTTAAAAATAATTGTATAGATAATGCAATATTTCTGTAAATAATAGTAGTAACACAAATATATTACTGTATATATTGGGCGGTAGTGTGAAGCACTTACAATTTTTCTTTTGAACATCATGTAGGGATTACATGTTTTATATAGCTCTTAAATCTTAATGCGACTCCTGACTAATGAGTTTTGATTAAATAAAAATTAATATTTAATTAGACGTCATAATGCGCCGATCATGTTGCAGAATGACCTAAATATGTAGTGCAGTATAATCACACCCTTTGTTCCCAATTTTTTCCTAAAAACTTTCTTTGAACATTTTCTTTAATGCTCATGACATTTCATTGTGCTTAAACTATTTATAATTGTAAAATACTTTGTAACTTGATTATTAATTTTTATGTTAAAGTTTAAAACAAATTATCTACACTTAAATAAGAGAAAATAATTATCTTTCATTGTTAAATATGTCATATTGTTATATTAAACTACTGTACAATTTATAAAAATATATTGACTAACAGTAAATGATATTTGATAAAGGAAGCTTATGAGAGCTGTGTTTTCTAATAGTTATGCTATTAATATATAACATTATATTAACTTAATAATGTCCTTAATTTAAAAAGTATCAGCATATTTAAAATTTGAGTATCAAATTGCCAACAGTTCTGTACAACCTAGGAACTAAATAATATTTTTAATTAAACAACCAGTTGAAATGTAATGTGTCTGATTGAATACTCATTGAATAGTCTTATGGCTCATTAAGCACAACTCAGATGACTTCATTTTATCAGCTGGGCGATGTTTGCTGTATGAAAATACTGATAAGTAAAAACATCTGATGATTGATTTAGTTAATTGTATATGAATGTATCACAATGGGAGATAGGAAGTCATAGTTCTGAGTATATTTAAGAAAATAACCATTGTTTTCCTAGGTTATACCATTATTTACTAATTAAGCCTAAGGCATGATTTAGAGTTTAAGCATAACATGATCTATATAAAATAAATAATATGTTAAATGTAACACAAAATTGCACATTTAAAACATACTATAAGAGACAATGCAATTAAAACTAAAAATTTGATAGTGCAACTTAGACTTTATTGATAAACCAATAAATCTAGAAATATACATAAATAATAAGGAAATCCAACATATGATACAGTATAATATAAAACTCAGTATAATATAATCATTCACTAACACATTATACAGTTTAAAACAACTTTTGACACCTACAATTATTTTTCAAATATCTCAACCTCCAAATTTGGCAATTTCTTCATGATCTTATTAAAGTGATGACATAATACTAAGATATGTAAATATATATTTTAGGAATAATTCAAAAATGTACTGTTTAATAGCTGTATACTTTAAACACTTGATGAGTGTTTAAAGTATACAGCTATTATGTGTGTGTGTGGGTGTTTTTTATATGCTAATATGTTATTTTGTTGTTGTATGTATGGTAGTTGTATTATAATTTTACTCTACTAAAACATGTTACAGGCTTCAGGCTTTATTTAAGCATTTTAAAGTAAAATCCTTCACACACAAATAAATATATGGTTAAACACTGCACTGGCTCTTAGTATATTTTAATATGTAAATTCTGTAATAGGATTTAAAAACTTCGGGTGGTCGAATAATTTAATCCAGCTGTCTAGTACTCGTCCTCAAATTGCATTTTCAAATATAGAGTCAAATTTACTGGTCAAAAGTAAGTTTGAGTATTGTTGAGATGTCAATTTAGAGTTGTGTGGTAATAAATAATTAGTAAACAAAACGCAAAAGTTACAGATCTTTGTAATCACGAGCTATAAATAATATTCACTGACTCACCTGTTGAGCAACCGGCTCTAAAATACTTTCGATTATCTTCGTGTGAAATACGGGCATCTTGTATGATACTCAATACATTAGGGAAAACACAAAGACAAACGCGAAGCAAACAAGAACACAACACAATGAATCACTAACACAAAAATTAAGGACGAAATAAAAACAAAAATCCAATTCAAAGTCCACCCAATAAAAATAAAACAGTTGCACTTATTAAACAAACGTCACACGCGCCACACGCGAGCACGAATTGTGAATTGTGATTTAGGATTTAGGAATTCAAATTTCTATTTTCGTCTGTTATCAGTGTCAGCTGTCATTTGAGTGACAACTTGTCATACCATGAAGTGACAAAAGATGAAGCTTTAATCCTTTATTCATTTAAAGAAATAATCATGTCAAAACATAAAACTAGTAATTTTATTTTATACCTATAATACAGTCCCTAAAATATTTAAACAGATTTAATTTATTTTAATTATGTGTCATTTTCTCATAGGAGAGTTTATTCGTAAAGCAATTTTGCTATTACTGCCCTCTAGAAAAGTTTTATGAATTAATAGTATTGTTTATGTATAAATTGTGGAAGCACGGCGTGCCCTTCCTCTGAGTTCTGACTTAAAAGAAGGATCCTGAGCAGTCTGACTAACTGGTCGGCTCAAGGGCACCTAGCAGTCGAAATAACTGTAAGCGCGTTTCAATGTCATCGTATTGATTTTTAGGTACTGGGTGTCGCTACAAAATAAACAAAGATTTTGTAATAGTAAAATATTTCTTTTATTTAAGAAAAATAAAACAAAAACTGCTTATAAAATTTTATACTTATAATTTTTGATCAAGCAGGTAGCGCATACCCCGCAAAATACTTATAACAATATGCCACTAATGGCAACACCATTTTGTAATCTATCTAACTTCCGAATGCGATGTACGACTACGATGCCAAGAAACGAGTCCGACCACCGACGCCAACGAGAACGACAACGACAGTGCGACACAATCCGCCATGTTGCCTACCACAACCGAGAAGTTTGATAAGAAATTATTACTTCTCGTGAAAGAAAACCCGGTCCTGTATAATACGAATCATGCCAGATATATGGATTGCAATGCGAGGGAAGTTGCATGGCAAAAAATTGGGGACGAATTGAAGCGGCCCGGTAAATGTTTTTATAGTACACGATATTTCTTTCTCGAAATTATATTGAACGCCCCTACCACTGTTCTGTTGTTGTGTTTCTGTGATCGCTGATTTTGTTTTCGACTCGTGTTCCAATTTTTTTTATAATAGGTGTTCTATAATTCGTATTTATTTATTCTTAGTTTTTAGATTTTTTTTAAATGCAGGATTAAACATAGGTTTCTTTCCTACAAAAGCGCATGTTATTTGCAGTGCTAATTTATTTTCGGTACAAATAAAAATACAAATTCTTATTTGAATAAGCGTAAGTAACGTTTGTAATCTTAAAGTATTATTTTCCAGCTGCTGATTGCAAAATTCGTTGGATAAACATTAGAGACGTGTATCGGAGAATCTTGCGGCAGCTAGCAACTAATACTGGTCTTCGAAAAAAACAGTATAAATATGAAAACGAGATATCATTTTTGAAACCCTTCTTTAAAGACATTACATCTTTCTATAAATACGAGTCAGACCAAGGCAGCGACCCAGTGATTAATGAAGAAGATAGTAATGACGGTTGTGATGAACCTATTCAGCCAATAGTAGAGAGGAAAGTAAGAAAGAAAAGAAGAAGGGAAGTGCCATGCCAAGATAGCGATGACCAGGAGGACGAGAATCCGACTATTCTTACAGATACATCAATGCCAACTGAACTTGACGCATCGGATCCCGTTGATGCATTTCTGCTTAGCATTGGTACAACGCTTAAGACATTTTCCCCTTATCATTTAAATGTTGCTAAAAGTAAAATATTTTCTATAGTACAAGAACACGAACTTCAACAAATTGTTCAAAAGGAACGGTCTGGCACATCTCATGAGAATAAAAGGATATCCCCTTCAGATAATGATATCAATTTTATGGAATAGTGGTAACAACAGTTACATATAAACACATCAAGGCAAAATACCTAATATGCAGAAGATTATGTGCATGTAACTAATTTTCATGTATGTGCGGTTTAAAAAAAATTCAAACTGTATACTCGCACATACATTTGTTAGTGTTAAATTAGACAATAAAAACTATTAATTATCTTAACGTTTATAATTACACAGATGTATAAATATGTATTAAATTTATATGCTTGTATTTAAAAAAAAATCTACACTGATTGCACTTGTCTTGCACCTTGTTAACTAAAGTATTCGTTCGTCTCATTCTATTAAATTGTGTTTATGCTGTGATGTAAAAGAAATACTTAAGTTAAATCGGTGCAATAAGACTGATTAATTTTTATGAATAAGAGATATCGAGATATCGAGCCAAGAAAATACTCGTACTAAGCCGTCGCAAGCAACAAGAGTTATGTTTTTATAATATACATGGTAAGGGTTAAAGTGTAATCGTATCGATTTACATCTTAACGACTTCTCCATTGGTTTATTTGTTAGGTATGTTTAGAATAGTATGAAGTATTTTAGAATTAATAAGTATTATATATAATATATTACTATATATGTGGAGACTTTTATTATAAGACATCGTAAATCTATTGAACATACCAACATCATCCAGACTTATTACACATTACATAGATCTGATATAAGACAAGCAAAAAAAAATGTATTAGCTATTTTTTTTGTATATTGTAATGTAGTTTTAACGGAGTTTAAAAACCAAAGGAGGAGGTTGTTACAGTGGCAATTTTCTAGTTTTGTTAAGCGAATTGGAATATACAAAGGGCATGCTATAAATGATCATACAAGATGATTTAAAAAATAATAAATCAGTGGCGCTACAACCTCTTTTGGTCTGGGCCTCAGATTTCTGAATATAATAGGCAAGTAGCTGATCAGCCTCCAATGCCTGACACATATTTTGATAATATGACTGCCTGTTATGATGTAAAATAATAACTTCAGAAAAGTTAGTTCTCTCATCCTACAAATTATATAAGATACATGCAGGAAAACATGTTTTGGTGTAACTTTGTATTTGTGTTGATAAATAACTTGCTACTTTTTATGAAGTAATATCCATCTGTAATTTGAATTAACTTAACTACTTTCATGGTTTATTTCACATCCTCTTTAGGGTGCAGGATGGGCAAGAAATGTGCAGCAGGTATACATTTTTGTTGTTGGAATGGTTAACGATACAAAGCATGACAGTCCTTGGGCCATTGTAAATATGATAGCTGTGCTGCACAAATGTCCCAAAATAAGCAAAGCTAGTTTCAATCAGTGTCATAGAATGACTAGTATGACTGTACTTATTCAGTCTGATTAATTTAAATAAGTTTGGTTTAAAGGATGTTTATCTTAGTTTATGACGTTTATCTTAGTTGTGTGCATATGTGAAGCAGGGCCACAAATATGTGGTGGGTTTTGTTCAGAATATGGCAGAGGAGATGGTTCGGGCTTAGCAACTGTTGGACTAAGGATGTTTGATGATCGCAACCGTCACATATGTGCTCACACGACAGCCGTGTCAACACCATGAAGGATATCAATGCAGTTCCTGCAAGCATCCCACCCTCTTCTGTTAAGTTCATCTTTTGATATGTTACCAGAATTCTGGTAGTATGATTATATTATGTGTAATATTAAGTACATATTAGAATTATTGACGGCTTTATGATCTTCAATTTCCTGTTAATAGCTTGTAGGTAGGTAGTGTGTTTCTTTAATATTTTATTTTAGCAGTTTGTTTAATTTATATAATTATTGTTTGCAATTTGCATTATTAACAATATTACTGGTCACAATGATGAATGAGGTCTGTTAACTGTTTATAAAAATAAAATGTAAATTGTAAACGTCAAAGAATATTACCTGTGAACTGTCAACTATTCACTAACTAGTAAGCAGACTGTAAACATGAAAGCCACTTCTCAGTGTGGTCTACGAATTGCGATGAAAAATTATGGTGTTTAGACATATGTATGTAATTTGAATATATGGAACATATGTAATTTGAATTCACCATTCAATTCTTACCGCCGAAAATATAAAAAAAAAACATGCAATTAGGTGTAATAAAGTAGGTATCATGGCGTTAACAGTCCCATAACCTCCCAATAAAAAATGGGCTAGATGAATTACCCGAGCAGATGTAGCGGAGCTCCGTCTCTGTCGAGTAGTAAACAAAAAGCGAAACGCCACCTATTAAAACCTGACTACGCTGCCAAAACGCATTTGGACTAAGGGGGTTTGCCCCGCCAGGCAGAATGATATCCTCTACGCAGCTCTACAGGTGATTCTGTACGCGGCCGCCCAAAGGAAACACTTCTACGTCATGTGTACTAACCACTCAGGAGGCGGTACATCTTAATATGTATTACGAAGACGGGTCGACTACAATGTTTTTAGATTTTTCCACTACTTAGAGAACTTTTCAGCAGGCTGAAATGTGATTTCTGACCGTTTCAGGGGAGGGTCAATCACATATTAGAAAATCGTAATTTACATAATGTTACCCTAGTTTTCAGGAGCCTGAAACATTTTTTCAGGCCGTTTCAGAGCACGTGTAGTCGAATGGAACACTTTTCAGGAAACCCGTTTTCAGGCGTTTTCAGGCCTGGTTATACCCCTTTGATGAAGGAATGTTCTAGAACGATTTTCTAGGTGTGGGACAAGGACGGAACGATACGCGAGAGAGAGGGAAGATCGGAACCTTCTCGAAGCTAGACCGAGCACTCTAGAACGCCGTACGACAAGGACGGAGCAATGTGCGAAAGAGATAGCTAGTACGCACGTTCTAGAATTGTGCGATCGCTACTCAGTTAGCCGCCGCCTAGAGAGTTCTCGAACATCGCTCCCAGGGATATATAAGCGAGCCGAAACGCGATCGATTAGTTCAGTTTTGAATGCGATACCAAGCGATAAACACCGGAGTGACAAAGTGCGAATATAGTGAAGAAAAGTGAATACAAGTACTGTGTGAAGTGCGTGATATTAGAGTAATTAGTGACAGTATTTTGTGTGTGTATTTAGTGAATTTTTGTGCGTAATTTCAAGTTTATAGTGTTAACAAATTCCTCGTAGATTTAATTGAAAATAAACCCTTGAAGAGATTTACGGCGTTTCTATCCGATCCCCTAGCTCGTAACATTTTGGTGTCAGAAGTGGGATAGAAAAATGCCAATTACTCCAAGGGAGAATCAAGAGGAGTTTGTAGCAGAGTCTCCAGCTGCGGAGGGAGTCCAGACAAGGGCGCAATCAGCACGCGACGCTGCCCGACGACAAAGTTTCGATGCGAACCGCGGGATGGGTGAAAGCAACGATGCCAACATGCTTCTTGCTCTGCGCCAAATGATGGAAGAACAGGCACGACGTCAAGAGGAACAGGCACGACAAATGATGGAGGAACAGGCACGCCGGCAAGAAGAACAGGCACGCCGGCAAGAAGAACAGGCACGCCGTCAAGAAGAACAGGCACGCCTAATGATGGAAGAACAGGCTCAGACACGTCGTATGATGGAGGAACAGGCACGGCGTCAAGAGGAGCAGGCTCATCAGATGATGGAGGAACAGGCCCGCCGTATCGGAGAAAAACTTGGTGACCTAAAAATACAGGTAGAGAAAAAGATCGAGAACTTGGAATCTGATATGGACTGCAAATTTTCGAAACAGGACAAACGTATTCTCGGATTAGAACAAGAGATGCAGTGCCTGAAGACCAAAGGTGTCGTAACGACTGTAGCACCATCTGGAAATCTGAAAGTACCTCCCTTTGACGGTACATCTTCCTGGGGCGCGTACAAAATACAGTTTGAGACTGTGGCAGAGTCAAACGGGTGGAATGACGATCAGGCTGTCACCGCCCTTATTATGGGACTGCGAGATGAAGCCCTCACCATATTAGATACCAAGACAGGTAAAGTGACGTTGAAGCAACTGCTGGATGCCTTGGAATCACGGTACGGAGACGCACATTTAGAGCACGTCTATAGGGCTCAATTAAAGGATAGAATACAGCAGACAAATGAAAGTTTGCAAAAATGTGAAATAGAGAAGCTGGTTAGGAAAGCCTATGCATCCTCACCAGACGTTGCAGACAAGATGTTGGTTCAAGCCTTCGTCGACGGTATTCGAGACCGTGAAATTCGAATGGCTGTGAACCTCGGTCACCATAAGGACCTCAAGAATGCTCTTGCTCATGCGTTGGAAGTGGAAGCATTTTGCAAGGATTCTCGACCTAACCGCATTAGGGCTGTCTCGGAAAAACGTAGTTCCCAACGTGGACCCACCTGTTACCTCTGCGGGGAAGTAGGGCATATGAGGTTTTCGTGCCCTAAGAGAGATCCCCGAGGCGAAATGAAGACAAGACGTGGGGAGCCCGATGACGTGGATGTGACTGCCGCTGAACAGCGGCAGGGAAACGAATAGAAGCCAGGACCACGGGGCGGGTGCTGGCCGGTTCTGTAAGGAAGGCCCCAAAAGTTATGATCTCTCAAACTCAGGATGGGAATACCATTGTCATCGACGGAGAAGTTAACGGCACTAGGTGTGAGTTAACCCTTGATACTGGAGCTTCCCGGACAGTAATCAGATACCAACTTCTGAAGTCATTTTACAAGAGCCTTTCTGGTGGAAATGTACAGCTCCTTACAGCTACTGGTCAGCACATAACCGTTCGAGGAGAAGGTATCGCTACCTTCAAGATTGGTGGGAGAACATACAGACATAAGGTGGTTATTGCTGACATCGTGGATGACTGTATTATCGGTTTAGACTTCATGAAGCATTACAACTGTAAGATTGACCTGAAGAACGGCACATTCAATTGTAGAGATGATGTAGTTTCCCTAAAAGATAACACATTGAAGAACGGGTACGACGTGTATAGAGCTATCATTGAAGATGGTACAGTTAGTAAACAACGAGATATAGTTCAAGCAATACTGGAGGACTGTAAGGAAACC